CGGGAGTTGAAATGTTACCAAACTTGGAGCCACAGTCTGTACCTCAGGAAGCCAAGTTCAGTCACCCGTCCTCGAGAAGCTAATTAAAACAATCAAATTAATAGCATGAAGAAGGGACAGGTATTCAGTGTGGCCACACCAGGAAGAGGGACAAAGAGATCCACTGACCCCCTCGGTCACCTTTGGGGTCCTGAAGTGAGGCTAAATCTTTAAATAGGGGGCCATTGGTTTGAGTGTACACACATACACACACACACACACACACACACACACACACACACACACACACAGTCCTGGACAGAGTGTGGTCCTGCCCACTCCGGCCCAGCATTGTTTGACTTCACCGTCACCCTGTAAGGTGCTCAGACAGTTGTTAGAACTGTGCGCAGTCCTTTCCCAAGAGACAAGGCCCCCACTCTGGCGGTGGCCTTTTCCTTGTTCCAGTTTGAGATTCCTGGGGAAACTGCCGTTTCTCGGGGTCCATTGTTTCTGTACCCTGAAAGTCAGACTGAGGAACACAAATGTCTCATTTTCAGAGTATCTTCATTTTTGTCTCTACAGCCTGGGGGCTGCAGGACTGACCCCCCCTCCCCCACGGGCCCCAGGTGCTCTAATTGTCTGCAGTGGCTGTGCCCACTTTCTTCCCCGGTGCTGCCGAGCCTTTCTCTAACTGCTCAGAATATGAAAGCCCCATGAGTCAGCCCCTCTGCCAGTGGCTTCAGCTCCGGTTTCCGCCTCTCCCTCTCCCTAGCCCAGCTTCATGGGCTCCTTCCTGCGTCTGTGTGTCATTTTGAGCTGATGGAGGAGGGGGAGCCACTGGCCCTGATTCAGGCAGCCTGGACTGAGCCGGCTTTAAAGCTGTCTCTCCCTTCCCTTACCCTCCCCCCTCTGCCGCCCCCAGTGGCCAGCTGAGATTTCTCATCTGTCACGTGGTCCTAGCGCTGGCTCTTCAGGAATGTTGAGGGACCACATCTGGCAGTGACGGGGCTGCCACCTCCCCCTTCAGCTGCCGGTCTCCCACATGTGCCTCTTCCGCTTAGGTGGTGGCGGGGCCTGCTCTCTCAGAGGCTGGCTGGGTCACTCTATGGAGTCATTTCCTCTCCTTGCATTGATTGTCCTGGCGTCCCTCCCTCCCCTCCCGGCCTTGAAGGGTTGTAAGCAGTGGGAGGAGGTTTTTCTTTCTCCTTCAGGCTTCCTGTCTGGGATGTGCTGCCCCTCCCCCAGGAGGGCTACGGGAGCCTAGAGGACACAGAGAGAGCCTGGCTGTGTGGGAATTTGACTGGATTCCCCAGGCTGGGAAACAAAGATAAGATTGGGGGCAGGGCTTAGGCTGAAGGAAGGGGCCTGAGTGTGGATCAGTTCATTCATCCGCCCTCCCATTCATCTGCCTGCTCATTCATTCATCCTCCCATTCATCTTCCCACCCATCCATCCATCCACCTATTAATCCACCCACCTAATCCATGCGTCCATCCCATTCCATTCAATAAGGGTCAGCAAGATGGTTCAGCAGGAAAAGGCGGCTGCCACCAAACCGAGTTCAATCCCCGGACCCTCATGGTGGAAGAAGAGGACTGGCTTCCTTTCCATTCAATGAATATCCCCCTCCTTACTGAGAAGGGATAGGGAGCCTGCCCCCCAGCTTTAGACCCAGCTCTCCCTTTGCACTCCCACCCCCAGTCCGGACAACCCATTATTTTGATCCCTCCTTGCTTCATTTAGCCAGGGCCCAGGGTGCTCAGAGCAAGTGAGGTGGCCCTCGGCCCTTGGCATGGTGAAGAGGGCAGAGGTGGCCTCACTTCCCATCATTCTCCATAGCCTTACGGGCCTGGGCCTCTCAGGAGAGAGCTATGAGCCGTGCACATGATGTCCAGGCTACCTGGGAAAACCTCTCCTGGTCTCTGGGTCTGGCTGCCTAGAGTCTGTGGAGTCTTTTGAAGAGGATGCCTTGAAGAGAAGATGACACTTGGGACAGTGTGGGAGAAAGGAGAAAGTTCTAGGAGGCAGAGGAGGAGGGAAGGAACAGGCTAACACCCAGAGGCCAAGCCTGCTTCTTCATCTTCAACTTGGGGAGGGGGGCTAGTCCTTGGGGGATTAATAACCCTCCTCTCAAGTTCTTGCTTCCATCACCCCGCACTTAAGAGATGTTGGAAGGACTGAGTGTTGGGATGGCGGGACAGTGTGGACACACCCATCCTTCTGCCCCACAGGTGGTCTCTTGAAGGTGATCCCAGCCACTTTGTCCAGCTCCGAGCCACACCCTAACAGGAGGTCAGGGAACAAAGGCTTTCAGGAGAGCGTGTCCACCAAGCCCCTGACTTTTAAGTGTGTGTCCCCTCCTGGTGGCAAGGGGTCCTGTGTTGTCCTACTGCTCTGTTCCTGGTGTTTGTAGGTCCCTTCTCTGGCTAAGCCTCCCTCTGTAGGAAGCCCTGGACAGGGAAACAGGTGCTGAAACCTCAGCCAGCCGCTCAGCTGACAAGATTCTGGTGAAGCCGGGTCCAGGGGAGACACACCACCTGTCTGTCCAGGCAGCTAACGGCTGAAGGGCAGAGATTTTCTGCATTGTCAACATGCTAGCCAGCTGTGCCAGATTTTCCCGCTGTCACCCCTGGGAGGGACATCTCTTTGGGGCAAGGACTCAGTCTGTGCAACCAGCTGCTGTCCACATTCAGGGTCTGTCTTTCCTCCCTTGGGGGCAGAGAGGCAGCTGCATGCCTACCCCAGCTTTGGAAGTAAAAGGCCTATGAACTCATTTGCGCAAACCCATCCTTGGGGTGCAGCCTGGGAAACATGACCGAAGTGGGTGCAGGGTGGTCGAGGCACTGACAGCGCGGACACACAGAGTGCCGTCTGCAAGCTGGCATCACCGGGAGCTGTCTGCCTTGTGTAGACTTGCTGAGTTAGGGTTTTGTGTGGGAACAAGATGGCTGGGTGATCACCTGCAGGACCTAGGCTGAGTGAGGTTTGTGCCCCAGCTCCCTAGTGCTAACTGTGTGACTTTAGAAAAGTGACTTCGTCTCTCTGAACCCCAGCTCCTTCATCTGCAAAGTAGTTTTGTATAAAACCCCGGGAAGATTAGTAATTCGTGTGAAAGCCAATGTGTGTATGAGGGAATGAGTCCCGTATGTGAGACCCAGACAACCTCTGTCAATAAGTAACTGCCGTTCCTGTCTGGAGATCCAAAGGCATTACTTGGTTGGTGACGGGTAGGTCTGAGGAGCGGTTAAGGGTATTCTTCTGCATTCCAGGGGTGTGGGGAGGACCAGTGCTGTGCCCGTCTCTCTCCTTCAAGTGCTTGGTTGTTCCAGTTGTTGGCATGAGAGGGCCTAACCCCAAAAGCTGGACTGCAGCCAGTACCACACACTCCCTTGTACCTTCTCTGCCCTCCCCATCAGAGCAGTGTGGCCAGGAGCGATGATTCAGCCCGGACCGGACCGTGTCCTGGGCCTTCACCTCCCCTGAGGGAAGCTCCAACTGCCCTGGGCTGCTAGCAGTGGTGAGGAGAGCCTGGCACCCCTGCTCTTCTCGATAGCCCTACCCTCCTCAATGAGAGGTGGCCTGGTTCTGGATTTGGCCGCATCTGTGACATCCTGTGTAACCTTGAACAAATGCAGCCTAGGTCTCAGTTTCTCTCTGGGTTCAGGGGTTGGGGGGTGGGGGTGGAGGCATCTAGGGAGAGAGTTCTGTTCACGTGAGGCCCTGAGATCCCTTTTGTGTCCTCTGTCCTCTGGAGTTCCAGGGCTCAGGGCAGATATAGACCCTGCCATGCCACTGGTTAAGGCGGAAGTAGACCCATGTCTCCCGGGAGCCTGGCAGGGCCAGCTTGTGTGGAGAGAGGAGACATTTTCCTCAGTGTGTGCAAACAGTATCCATTTTCTCTTGTTTCCAAAAGCTGGTGATGTAACCAGCCCTTCATCCAGTCCTCCCCTCTGGCCTATTTTTAGCCTGGCCCCACAGCTTCTTAAGAGGCTCAGACCTCCTTGCTCAGCGACCATGTAGGGAGGGTAGTATGGAGTGAAGAAAGACAGAAGCCTGTCTGTTTGTCCCAAGGCGGAGGAGGGCAGGCGTAGGCTGCCAGCTCCTCCAGGCAGGAAGGGGATCTTAATGAGGTGTTCATCCTTGGAGGCTGAGTCTTGGTTCCCCCGTCCCAACCACACATTGGGAAGGGTCTCTCAGCCATGTTTTGTTTGTCGGCTGTGACGTGGGGATGATGGTGGCATCCATCCCAAGCACTGCTGGAGGCCTGAGTCGCATCATGTAAACCTCTCTCAAGAGAAGCTGGTGCTGTTACCTTTGCTAGTGCCCAACACCCCTCCCCCATTGTCAGAGCCCCCTGGAGCTGCCTCTCCCCATTACCTGGTTAACCTGAGTGCTTGCCCATCTTTGCTGCTTCAGCTTCTACCAATGCTGTGTACACGAAACACTATGCACAAAGTCCTCAGGTCTGGCATGCAAGAAACACTGGAGCGGGGAGGGCTGGACCTACCCATGGATTAGGTGTGGGCCTTTGGGAAAGCTATTTAACCACTGAGCTTAGTCTCCACATCGGCAAGACTCTGAAACCTGCATGGGCAATTTCTGTGGCCTGTGAGGCGTGCAGCAGAGCACATAGCCCTGATTATAGTGTTTAGCATGGTAAGCTTGCTTCTTAGAGAGGAGTCCTAAAGCCTGGCTTTGGTTCTCTACCTTACAGCAGCAGCTGGACCAGCAGCATCTGTGTAGCCCTTTACAGTTTGCATGGGATAGGCAGCGGTCTTTCCCATCTCTGTCCCCATAGTACCATGCTTGTGCCTCAGAGGTGGTATTTGCCACCACTGGACCCTGTGATTAGCACCACTCCAAGGTCTCGTTGCTCGCCCTACCTCTGGGTAGGCTAGGAGCTTCCTGGAGGGCAGGCAGCTTTTCCTAGGCATCTTCCTTGCCCTGCGTGGACGATGAGGTGGGAACTGGGGGCTGGCAGGAGGAAGTCCTCTGACCATTTGTTCTTCTTGCTGTTCCAGATGGGAGGAAGAGCTATCCAAGCGTATGGACCTTCAGACCATGGTAGACACACTGCAGGAGGTAAGAGTCCCCAGGGTCCCCAGCCGGAGGGGTTGGCAAGTTAGCTATGAGGCCATGCTGGGGAAAGCTGGGCAGAGTCCGAGCTAGCATAGCCCCTGTCCTGATCACTCTCTGCCATCCCAGCCATTTACAGGGCAGAGCAGGACTTGGGAAGTCTAGGTCTTACTGGATGACTGGGGCCAGCTGCTTCCCCCTCCTGCCTCTCAACCTCCAGGTGCCACTTGGGATAGGTGGTCTTCAGGTCTCTTTCACTTTCCAATGGCAAGTTCTTCAGATTAGGACTGATGCCCCGGAGAGACCTGGGAACAGACACATCCTCTGGTAGCTTCCAGCCTCGAAGCAGGCTCGGGGCAGACCTGAGGACATTCACCTTGTTTCTCCCTCTGGCTGCTCTGCATTCGGGGCTGCGCCACTCATACTTACTGGGAACTCTGAGAAGCTCGTTTTATCCTCAGCCTGTTTTCCTTTCTTCTCTGTCACAACCAGACCAGCAACACCATGAGAAGGCAATGCAGAGTTAGTTGTTGGGTTTTTTTTTTTTTTTTTGACAGCCGGGTGTGGTGCTCGCACCTATAATTACTTGGGAGGCGGAGGCAGGAGGATGAGGAATTTAAGTTCAGCCTGGGTTGTGTAGTGAGTTCCAGGCAGCTTGGGTTTCATGAGACCCTGATTCAACATAGCAAAACAATGTGTTTTTAAAGATGGACCGGCGGTGTGTCTCAGCCCTTTGCCTATCTTATGCATAGCTCCAAGTTTGATCTCTAGCACCAAGAAAAATATTAAAACTGAGAACTAGTTGTTTCTAGGATGGGTTAAAAATTCAGATCACTTTCTGACGTTTAAAGAATTTATTTTCTAAGAAAGTGAGAGACACAGCTCAGTTGGTAGAATGTTTGCTTAGGGTGCACGAAGCCCCGGGTTCCCAATGCAAACAGTGCGTGGCGCACACCCGCAGCCCCAGTATTTGAGACATGCAGCCAGGTTGATCGGTTCAAGGCTGAGCCGGGCATGTCGTCAGGCGCCTTTGGTCCCAGCACTTGGAAGGCAGAAAAAGGTGGATCTCTGAGGTTAAGGCTAGCCTGGTCTACAGAGCAAGTTTCGAGAGAGCCTGAGACACCAGAAAAACCCATTTTTGAAAAACAAACGAACAACAATAAAAGAAGTTTAAGGTCATTCTCAGCTACAGAGGGAGTTTGGTCTAAAAAAACCCAGAAGTATAGGAAAGAAACAAATGTCTTTTTACTATTAAAAAAAAAAATAGGCATCCGGTGGACTGGCAATTGGTTGACCTTGTATTTCTAAGTGCTGGGGAGCCTGCTGGCCCTAACCTACCCTTTGCTCCTGATGTTTTCCTTCGCCGTACCTGACCCGCAGGAAGCGCTGGGAGCAGGCGGCACAGCTCGGCAGCCAGGCTGGGCTGAGGGACACAGATGTTTAGCTTATGTAGACACTGAGTGGCCGGGCCTTGGACCCAGGTGTCCATCCTCTCCTCCTCTTAAAGCCTGCCTATCTCCATCCGTCCGCAGGCAGCACAAGAAGCTGAGGCTATCCAGGAGGAGATGAACGAGAAGATTGAACGGCTCAAGGCTGAGCTGGTGGTGTTCAAAGGGCTCATGAGTGATGTAAGTGGTATGGCCGTCACCCTAGGCATCATGACCTCCCTTTACCCATCATGCCAAACGCTTCATTCACTCCGAGGCTCGAGCTCGGCTTATAGTTACAGTCGTGGCTGGCTGGTTTGTTCCGATGAGGGATGCACTGGGGACCAGGTGCCTCCCTGCCCTCCCCACATCGCTTCCCTGTCTGAATAGAGGTGCTTTAACCGCTGCTTAACCCATCGCCCTCCTCCTCGGGCCCCTGACATCTGTATGTGTTGCTCGATTCTCCCAACTTGCCATGTGGCGACCTCGGTGTCTGCAGAGCACAGGCGACCGAATGGACGTGGCTGTGCCAACCTAAAAGACTTCAGGCTCAGGGAGCCCGCTCCCCTGAAGGGTGTCCTTGTTAAGTTGGGAATGGTTGGCGTGTGCGTCTTCTTGGCCATCTGGGGCCCTTCTGAGTGACTGACCATGGGTAGAAACAGCTGTTAGCCACATAGGCCTCCCTGGCTCTTGGACCTGGGTTTCTTGCCGCCTTCAGGCAGTGGGCAGTCTGCCAGGAGCGTCCACCTGAAGGAGAAGGAGCCTGAATTTGATGACTCAGCCTGGCTCAGCTCCTGGCTTTCAGGGACATGCAGTTGAGTGTGGTTAGATGAAGCTGTGCGACCCAGGTGGAGGCCACATGTCTTCTTTCACTTGGGCGCAGAGGGAATGCTTCCTCTTTCGATGTGACCCCTGCTGTCGTCTGCGGCAGGAATCTAGAGAAAGAGCTGCTGAGACAGGCATGAGGATGGGAGCAGAAGGGGAGTCTGTGCATTTCTTGTGTGTGTGCTGGAGAATTAAACCAAAGGCCTTGACCAAGTAACACCCGGCCTTGGAAGGCTTCCTCTCAACAGTCTCAGCGCCCTTGTCCCATGTTGCAACCAAACCAACAAACATTGCTGTGCCCTGCAGCCCTGAGGGGGACCAGCACACACCGCCTCATATCTTCCCTCCTGAAGTTCCCATGCCCCTTCCTACCCTGAATAGTGCTGACCAATCCTCCACTGTTAGGAAAGGCTCAACACCCGCTCCCCACACCACAACCTTCAACACCCGCTCCCCCCACCCTGCAACGGATTCCAGGGGCTTCCCCACCCCTAGGGATCTCCCTCCTCCTCTGATGGCCCCCTCATGCTTGCTCCATCCCTGGCTCACATAACCCCTGCTGTCCTCCCTGCAGCCCATGACAGACCTGGATACAAAGATCCAAGAAAAGGCTATGAAGGTGGACATGGACATCTGCCGCCGAATCGATATCACGGCTAAGCTGTGCGATGTCGCACAGCAGCGGAACTCGGAAGACGTGTCCAAGATCTTCCAGGTGACCAGGGCCGGCCCCGCTCACCAGTCCCCACCCCGACCTCATAGAGCAAGCCCTGACCTCTGCCACACCCAGTCGATGCCTCTTTCCCTCCACATTTTGCTCATTACTCCATCCTGAGGTAGTCAGTCACCTGACCCTCTGACCTCCCATAGGGAGACACAAACTTGGGGATCTGTAGTTCACAGCTGAGGAGACTGAGGCCCTGGGGCCCATAGGACTTACCAAGAAAGGGCATGGTAGAGCCAGCTGGAACTTCCTGTGCCCACCGTTCCTCACAAAGCCTCTTTCTCTGAGACTCTGATTTGTTCCCATGGTGGGGGAGCCCTGGCCAGGTGGTGGGGAGCCCTGACAACTGGCCCTCAGGATTCCTGAAGAGAAGCTATTGGCGCTTGCCTAGTTCCCATTCCCCTCCCCTGGTTTCCCACGCACTAGAGAAGGCAATCTGTTGGCACCAGTGGACGGTTTGGGAGAGGGCCTGGGTGTGGTCCTCCTGACAGTGGGCGCACGTCGCTCTCAGAAGTTTCGGGTCATAGTCTGGCTTGTGCTTTAGCCCAGGGCAGTGCCGTGGTGTGTTGTTGCTTTCTGTGTGTGACTCTGGACATAGTGGTGGGAGGTCGGAGCCTCCCCCAGTCCTTTCTCCATCTCATGCCTCCTCGCTGCTCCCTGAGGGGAGCTATGCAGCCCTCGTTTGCTTGGGTCTTGTCGCTTGGAGCAGAAGTTTGGTGAACCACCCCCATGCCTCTGCATGCGAGAGGAAGATTCTGAAAGCATGCAGCTCTTTTGACCTTTGACGGGGTTTCTTTACTTCTCTGACTGGCTTTGAGACATCCCAGGTGATGATACCTTGGTCTGGCCTACCATTGTTCCCAGTCACGAGACTGCTTTTCTGGTGATGGGTGAGCTGAGCTGGCCCGGTCACTAGCCCTTCCCCGGGCAGGACTTGGTCCCTGTGTCTGTGTCCTCCACCCTGCATGCCTCATATCTCACGCTTTCTGCTAATGCTGTGCGCTTGTTAGAGGACCTATGCAACTCCCTGCGGTGGTGGCTGGCCCCAGCCATACTCCATCTACTCCTTGGGACAATGGTTCCTGTCCAGGCTCAACCCCGCTCTTCACCCCAGGCAAGCACCCCAGTTACCTTGGCTTTTTCCTTCCCTGTCCAGGTGGTCCCCAAAAAGAAAGATCGTAAGGTGGCTTCAGATGATGACATCGCAGAGCAGGATGGGGAGGTGAATCGGTTCTCAGATGAGGAGGTCGGCTCCATGAACATCACGGACGAGATGAAGCGCATGTTCAACCAGCTGTGAGTACCCAGGTTGCCCAGCCAGGGGACATATCAGTGGCTGGCTGAGAAGATCCCCAGATGTGATGTGTCCTGGAACAGTTTGGATTCTGTGTGTGTGTGTGTGTGTGTGTGTGTGTGAGAGAGAGAGAGAGAGAGAGAGAGAGTGTGTGTGTGTGTGTGTGTGTGTGCACGAGTGTGTGTATGTGTGTGTGCCCGTATGCGAGTGTGGGTGCACAAAAGCCAGAGATCAGTCTTGGGTGTCATTTCTCAGGTGCTTGTTTCTGGGAGTCAGGGTCTGTCATTGGCGTGGGACTTAGGTTAGACTAAGCTAACTGGCCAGCGAGCCCCAGGGATCCACCTGGCTCCTTCTCTCTAGTACTGGGGTGGCAAGTACACACAGTCAGACCAGGCTGGTCTCGAACTCAGACATCTGCCTACCTCTGCCTCCTGAGTGCTGGGATTAAAGGTGTGCACCAGCACCGCCTGGCTCCATCCTGGTGTTTTTACTTGCATTCTGGGGACTGAACTCAGGTCTTCAAGCACTTTACCTACTAAGCCATCTTTCTAGCCCCTGGATTCATTTTTTTTTAAGATGTCTTTTTAAAAAATTTAAAATGTATTTATTTTAAAATTTTATATATTTATTTTTATTGCATGGATGTTTTGGCTCCATGTATATTTTTGTGGAGCTCAGAAGAGGACATCAGATCCCCTGGAACAGGAGATCTTAGAGAAAGCTGTGAGCCAATGCATGGGTCTAGGAATTGAACCCAGGTCCTCCGCAAGAGCAGCCAGTGCACTTAACTGCAAGTCATCTTTCCTATTTTAATTTTTTTTTTATTTTATGTGTATGAGTGTTTTGCCTGCATGTATGTCTGTGCACCATGCATGTGCCTGGTGCCTACGGAGGGCAGAAGAGGGCATCACGTCCTCCAGGACTGGTGTTGTAGATAGCTATGAGCCACCATGTGGGTTCCCAATAGAACTTGGATCATATGGAAGACTAGCCAGTGCTCTTAACCACTGAGTCCTTTCTCCAACGATTTAATTTTATGTGCATTGGTGTTTTGCCTGCATGTATGTGTGTGTGACGGTGTTGGAGCCCCTGGAACTGGAGTTACAGATAGTTGTGAGCTGCCATATGGGTGCTGCGAATTGAACCCAGGTCCTCTGGAAGAGCAACAGGTGCTCTTTGCTAGATTCTTGATTAAACAGAGAGTTTGGGAAGCCCCCTGTTTTAAGCCTCCCTTTGGAGTCTTGAGGCCAGATATCACATGGCACCATCCATGGCTGGGTATCTAGTGCCTGCCATATTTGGGATGTGTGCCCATGATCCTTTATGTCACCTGCTACTCTCAGTTCTTTAGAGCACACCCTACCCAGAGAGGTGTAGGGAGACAATTGTTTCAACTAGGATTGGCCTTCCTTGCCCAAAGGGTGAGAAGGCAGGGCTGTTCTGTCTTCTTCCTCTTCATGTGCAATGCTGTCTGATGACATCATGTATCCAGGAAGGGCCAGGAGTGTGGCGTCCCCTCAGTGGGCTGTTCCCAACCATACATTACACAGGCCCTCTCTTCCAGTCTCTCTTGGTGGGCTGGTGAGTTGACCTGTACATGGTTCATAGGAAGACCTTTGATAGTCACCAAGTGTCCTTCACGAAATGACACTTGGCTTCCTCCAGACCTTCATCAAGTGGACAGGGTCATTATTAACCTTTTCAAAGGCTCCAAGGGGGCTCAGCAGGACATGGCAGAATTGGACTCGGACAGCAACCTGCCCCATTCATTAGCACTCCCTCCCCAGGAGATGCTGGCTGAGTGGCTGAGCGGCAGAGTCTGGCTTGAGCATTGAGCAGACAGCTGATAGCCAGAGCCACGTGGCACCAGCCTTTGGGAACCGTGTGTGTGTGTGTGTGTGTGTGTGTGTTGTGTGTGTGCAGCCTCAGTGATGTCACATTGGTAGTTTAGACTTTAATCGACACATGCCACCATTCAGGACTCCCCTGCAAAACCTTACAGAGAACTGCACCAGAACCCATTGAATACATTGATTCGGGGCTGATGGCTCTGTGGCCTTGACCTATTTGGTGCTTTGTTCTGAACCCCCGATCCATTTTTAACTCTAATCTATCCAGAACCCCAAGGTGGGATTGGGAGAGGGCACTGAGGGAGTCAAGAGCAGAGCTGGGAGCCCCATGCTCTTGGGCACCTGGGCTCTGAAAGCTCAGCTCTGTCACAGCGGGCACCATCCAAAAGACCAGGCCACCAGCTCTTTGAGTTCCATGTAAGGGAAACATTGCTGGAGCACAGTAGGGCAGAGCCAAGCCCACTTACATGGTTCAGTGCTGTGTCCCTTCGCCACCTTCCTGCTTGGAAGACATGTCCGTATGTCCGTCTTCTGTCTGCTGTGTCACTGTTCCTGGCTGGTCCCTCTTTGGCTTAGATCGATACTTAGAGAGGATGAGCAGGGTGGAGTTGGGAGTTCCTCACCTGATGTCTGATATTTGATACCTACATTCCAACAGAACCAAGATGGACATTTGCTATTGATAATGCCAAGGACACCCCTTGACTCTTGTTTCGTCTTTGAACTGGAGTCTCCCTCCAGATCAAGAAGGGATCCCCCAACCACCACTTTTTTTTTTTTTGAGATAGGGGCTCATGTAGCCCAGGCTAGCCTCAGGCTTGCTAGATAGTCTAGCATGACCTTGAACTTCTGATCTTCCTACCCCCACTCCATGAATACTAGGACCCAGGCCTGGTTTCTGCAGTGCTGGGACTCAAACCTAGGGCCTCCCTTGCATGATGGGCCAGCATTCTCAACTGGTTTTCCCCAGGTTGCTCTGGGAATTCCTGAGCCTATGCCACTATTGGATGCTCAGACACCCCAAATCCCCTTCTGTATTTCATGAAGTCCCTAGGGAATCATTAAACTGGTCAGAAATGAGGTACAGTGCAGAGGTACCCATCCAGAGGGTTGAGTTGGGGGCACGTTTGGAGAGGGCTCCTTCTTGTGTGTGGAAAATGCATTCATCTGGAAACAGTGGAGAAGTGATCCCTCATGCGTTCGGCACTGGAGTGTTGACAGGGCTCAGCGTCTAATTAGATCTGTCTGACTTTAAAGTTGCCTAAATTAAAAAAAAAATTCTTTGATCGCCCCCTACTCCTATCCTGTTGCTCTAGCTGGTGCTAATGGCTCATGCAGCAGCTTTTCCTTCCTACCTGATAACTCCCGGAGCCCACGCCCCAGCTGGGTGGTTATGCCCCCCTCCCCCCAGCCAGTTAGTTCTAGTGAGGCTTTTGATGACACACCCGTGTCAGAAACCTATTTTGTTTTGATCCAGATCAGTGGCTTGGGCTTCCGACCAAGGCTGAGAGGAATTTCAACCGCCTTCCAAAGTCCCAGGGAGGGGTGGGGGCGCCTTCCGCCTTTGCTCTCGTCCATCTTCCTGTCCTGGCTAGCCATCCCTTAGTGGGGCTTTCCTTCAGATCTCAGACGCTGGAAAGGAAGTGAAGTCAGTAGTGGACTATGTGATGTGCTAATGGGTGGACCCCAGGGGCTCAGAATCGCCTCCTCCTCCTATATCCAACCCCAAGCTTGTTTACTGACTCACAGGTGCCACCTACAGGCTCCTACAAGAATTGCTTTTGGGCAGCCTGGCCTACCTCTAGGGAGTGCTTGAGGAAGCTTTTTTTGGTTGTTTTTTCTTTTTTTTAATTTTTATTTTTATTTATTTATTTTTTATCAGAACTCACTCTGTGTTGCTGCCGGTTGGTCCCCAACTAATAACATTGTTGAACGACGTAGAGCAGAGAGCAGAGCTCAGAAGAGTCAGGATAGAATAGAATAGAAAAAGGGGAAGCATAGACAGTGGGAGAACCCAGAATGGAAGTCTGCAGATTCTTCTGTGCCACTGATGTAAACTCAGCCCGATATCGCGACACAAGCCTGTAATCCCAGGATTTACTTGTCTGTTTTGGTTTGGTTTTTGAGGCAGGGTTGCTCTATGTAGCCCTGGCTGGCCTAGAACTTACTACGTAGAGCAGGCTGGCCTCGAACTCATAGAGCTTGCTACCACATCCAGTAGATGGAATGATTTTTTTTCAAAGAGGCGGAGCAATCTATGCATCTCGGGAACCAGTCCTGGGCAAAACCATGCAAAATTAGTCTCTTTCCTCCCCATTCTGGCCAACAGGAAAGACTCTAAAGTCACTTCAATTTTGAATTCAAACCCAATGTTAGCATCTATTCGTTTAGAAGGACACTCAGTAATCCTTGAGTCTTGGTTTGCTGAGCTGTAAAATGAAACTAATAATCTTGCAAACCTCCAGGTTGGAGGATGGCCTTAGTTGGTTTCAAAGCTGTAGAGAACCAGAAGGGTTGCAGCTGTGCCCCTGTTACATGCTGAATTTCCTTCTGAGCCGTGGTCCCTCAACCGCAAAACGTGAGGAGCATGGTTGGATTTGCCTTGCTCAATATGGTGGGGGTAGTCATTCTTCTTTTGACCAGAAGCATGTCTAAAGGAGAGAGAGAGAGAGGAGAGAGAGAGAGAGAGAGAGAGAGAGAGAGAGAGAGAGGAGATTTAAAAAGAAATTTATTTTATGTATGTGTATGAATGTTTTGCCTGAGAACCATGTGCATGCACTGCCTGCAGACTCCAGAAGAGGGTGCCGGGGCCCCTGGGGCCAGTAAAACAGACAGTTTTATACCACTCTGTGGGTGCTGGGAACTGATTTCTAGTCCTTTGCAAGAGCAGCAAGTGCTCCTCACTGCCTAGCCATCTCTCTAGCCCCGGCGGAGGGGGTGGATTTTTGACACAAGGTTTTATACCATAGCTGAAAGCTGATTGGTGCTCACTATATAATGTAGCCCAGGTTGGCCTTGAGTTGGATCCTCCTGTCTCATCCTCCTGAATCCTGGGATTATAGACACTCACCACACCACTTTTGACTTAAAACCAGACTTCTAATTGTACAGAAACACTCTGCATTTTGAGAAACTAAAGCTCTTTTTGGATAAGACAGTTAATTGGCTTTGGCTACACGCCATCTTTTTTGAGACTGGGGAAGATGTCCCTGTCTGTCCTCTGTTCAGTCATGCCCTCTGATGTCACCCACAGGCGGGAGACCTTTGATTTTGATGACGACTGTGACAGCCTGACTTGGGAGGAGAATGAAGACACGCTGTTGTTATGGGAGGATTTTACCAACTGTAACCCGACCATTGACCTGCAGGGAGAGGTGAGCCTGGGACCTGCCTTCTCTGGGGCTTGCCTCTTTCCCATGATCCCTTGTTTTTACCCTTTTTATGCAGCTTGTGCTCCCCAGCTAAACTGTCTCCTCTGTCTCCCCAGCAAGAAGAAAACTTGGGCAACTTGATCCATGAGACTGAATCCTTCTTCAAGACGAGAGACAAGGAGTACCAGGAGACGATAGGCCAGATCGAGGTGAGAGCTCGGCCATGGGGTCTGCTATTGAGTCTCCTGGGGGCTGCGTAGTTGAGCTGGGTGGTCAGTGTCCATGGAAATGCAGGCTTACAAAATGGGACAAGCAAAGGGGTCAAGAGTCAGGAGCCTGGCATTGCAAACCTGTCCTTATTAGTATGTTAGTTTCCCAATCTGTAAAGTCAGACAGTGATTCCTGCCTACCCTAAAGAGGCAGAGGCAGGAGAGTGCCAATAACAGCCTTACCCAGTGCCTAGTATCATTTGGCATCACTCCGAAGTCAGCTCTCGTTGTTCTGGGTTTTCTTTACCTCCTCCTCGGCTGTAGGAACTGGGTACCCATACAAAGGAGGAAATGATGTCAAAAGAGGCCACGTCACTTGCCCACTGTTTCCAAGTCAGGAAGCAGTAGTCAGGCCAGTGCTGGGCCACTGCTATACAAGAGTGAGTGCTCTTCCCGTGTTGGAGAAGAAGCCCAGAGTCCTCCTCTGCCCTGGAGAGGCAGGTGTCATGGTATAGGAGAAGGCTCAGAGACATGAAGAGTTTCCTGTTCATGTCCATAACCAGTTCCCCAGAGATGCTGAGTACAGGGAAGTCCCCTGAATCAGAGACTTAGCCGGATAGACCTCTGGGGTTGCTAAGCAACCACCCCTCTTTTGTGTAAAGAGAATTGACCAGTGTGGAGAGAATAAGGAAGGTTGATACCCAAAGGCAGAGATTTACTGTTACAGTGTCCAGGGATGGCCTGGATGGTGCCAGGGTTGGCCTGGGTGGAGGAGGGTGGTTTCTTTTGCTGGTAACCCGAGGTCCAAAGGTCCCCCTCACCACCTTTATCCCTCATCGACTCCTTCCAGCTGGAGCTGGCCACAGCCAAAAGCGACATGAACCGACATCTGCACGAGTATATGGAGATGTGCAGCATGAAGCGGGGCCTGGATGTGCAAATGGAGACCTGCCGCCGGCTCATCAAGGGCTCTGCAGACAGGTGCGGCCCGTGCTCTCCTACGCTTCCGTGGTGGGGCCTTAGAGAGACATTCTGGGGCTGCATCATGCCCCTTCACCTCATTCTCATTTTCCTGACCATCTGTCTGCCCACCCACCTAAGCCCCCAGTATAAGCACTGTTACTGTAGGCAAGTGGAACTACTTGCCAGGGATGCCCTCAAGCAAACGGAAACCCGGGCTGTTTCCTCCACTGTGTGTAGTCCCCATATGTTCTCAGTTGTCTGGGCTTTCCTGGGTACCACTTTGTGCTCAGACCAGGAATGATGGATGGCTACAACGTAAAGAACCAAGCTGGACCCGTGACTCCCGCTCCCAAAGGGAAGCCACACACTAGACGAAGCAGTGGCTGGGGCGGGGGCTCCCAAGGAGTCACAAGAGCCATAAACAGCTCATGGAACCCGCAGGACCCCTCGAGGGTAAATCCTGTTTGGTTCCTGTTACGTTATTGCAGGAGATGGAACCCAGGGCCTCATGCACCTAGGCAAATGTTCTGCTCACTCCAGCCCCTTTGGGTACCTTTTGACAGGTGTGACTGCCCAGAGTTCCTGGCCCTAGGATGTCAGGGAACCCAGGCTGCTTGCTGAAAGTCTCCCCTTTCTCCCACGCTTTGCAGGAATTCACCGTCCCCCAGCTCTGTGGCCAGCAGCGACTCAGGAAGTACAGATGAGATCCAGGATGACTTGGAGCGGGAGGCGGACGTGGAGCCCATGGTCAGCTGATAACGGAGACCCTGCGCACCTGGTGGTCTCGGTGATGGGGCACAGCCTCCTCTCCTCGCTGAGCCACGAGGGCTCCTCACCACAGAGACTTCTGTCCTCCCTTCTCCGGAGGCCCAGCGGGACCGCTGCTTCCTTCCTTCCTTGACCACCCACCCACCCACCCACGGAATGGTGCTGTCGATTTTCTATCGTTCTCCACATCACAATTGCAGACTTCTGTGCGGCAGTGCAGTGCAATGTGCCTTCTCCCTTAAGCTGAGCCACTTTGAGCTCCAAAGAATTCTTCCTAGCAGGTGTTTTTTATACAAAACTCTAAGGTGAGGGTGGGGCCTGGGGTGTGGTATCTTTTGGTTTTTCTTCCTCTCACCTGCTCCCCTGATTGGCCATGAGCTTCGTCCTCCCTCCCCATGTCCTGGCCCTGACTAGAAGTCAAGTCGGTGGCCATTTGGGGGAGTCTGCCTTCCAGAGGAAGGAGGCTGTTTACGTACAGACCTGGGTGAGGACTCCTTAATACTTTCTCACCCACTGAAAGAGAGAGGTGGATGGAATGGCGGGAGGGAAGACCAATCTTTTTTTTCCTTCTTTTGGATCTAGTGGCAATGTGTTGGGGCAAGGCACTGTGGGGGACGGTAGAGCCTCACTGTTTAAACTATGCAAAAAAACAAAAACAAAAACAAAAAGCAGCTTGCCTTATATCAGTGGGAAGGCAGGCCCTCTCTCAGACTTCTGGGAAACCCTCATAGCCTCTGAGGGTGAGCCGTGGATCTGGGGGTGGTCCCATTCAGGTCTCTGGTGAGGCCTGCATTCTGTAAGCTGGCCTACTGGACTGCTGGCTTTCTTGGGGACCTCTGTAGGGTGGGGAGGGTGGGGTGGTGGTCTTTTATTGTCCTGATGACTTGATGTTCCTTCCCGCCTCTCCAGCCACCTGCCAGGTTCCACGATTGTAATTTCTCTGTGAGAAAAGTATGAATGGGCCAGGCCACTGGTACCCACTCCGTCCGCCATGGCGCCATCTTGGTCCTCCATTGTTCCTCTGGCTGGAAAAAAAAAAAGCCTTGTGAGGGAGGAAGAGGGAGGTAGTGGGGCTCCTGGCAGGCTGGCAGTAGCCAGAGTAGAAGCCCCAAGTGAGGAGTGTCCATAGCCACTTGGTTGGACTCTTGGGGAGTCACTCTGAGCCAGTGTTTCCCCAAGGCTGCAATGGCCTGAGTTAAGGGGCCCTAAGACAGACCATCCATCTAGTCTCAGCTGGGAACTCGCCTAGCAGTCAGGTTTTATTTTTATTTTACTTGTTCTTATTTTTGTATCGACTCTAGTGGTTTTGATGGCCTATGTTGTTTTTTGTTGACCCAGCAGCTCCCTCTGGAGATCAAAGGAACAAAATGTACCCAGGGACCAGAACTCATGGGCCCTCTGAGGCCTATGTGTTGAAGGACAGGGGACTCTGGGCTGGAGTCGTGGTGGTACCCTAATTGTCCCCTGCGTCCTTGTATCTCTGTGTGTGAGTGACCCCATCTGTTTTGCATTTAGAACAAGTGTATATAATAGGCAAATGTATGTATAGAGAGGAGAGAGAATGTTATTTGTTGGCAACTTGCTTATCTAATTTATCAGAATTTGGTGGCCTTTCTCACGTGGTTGGATGGGGGGGTGGGGCGCATCCTGTGCAGCCTGGCTGCAACATTCAGTTATCATCTCTTGATGACCAAACTGTCCTTCCCGGCAGGTACTTGGAGGGACAGTGGTTTGGAAGAGACACAGCCCCTTCCCTCACCCCCTTTCCCACCTCCCATTCTTTTAAAGGTTACAGGGTTCATTAGCTTCTGGTTATTATTATTATTGTTATTATTGTTTTGTTTTTATTTTAACCAAAGGGTATCAGAGCCAGATGGGCCTGGACCTTAGCTGCTGTAAAAAAGATTTCCGTTTCTGTGAGGGCAGGAAGATGGCTGCCCCCATGGGTGTGTTCAGCTGAGGCTGGGGAAGGTGTCCATCCAGTGGTAGAGGCTGGGAGTCGGACAGGCAGAGTAGAAGTTGGCCCTTAGCTGTTCTTCAAGGTGGCGGTGTGGTGACACATATCTCTAGAGTTAAGACAGTAAGCTATAGTATAAACATTTGGGGTGACGAAGGTTACCCTGGAAACTGGTGTCCTGTGGTGTTATTTTTTGCTTTCCCAACTGTATACATAGGTCATTTGTCTAGGGCATTGAGAAAGGCAGACGCGGGAGTGTTCCTTCCTGTGGGCTTTCAAAGTCTGCTTTCTCCTGGAGAGAGAGGCTCCGAGGCAGGAGGATGATGGGAGAAGAGCGAGGGAATGGTGGGCATGCCTCCTGGGCTGGTTCTGGAGTCTGGGCCTGGCCTCCACTCTCTCTCTTTCTCTCTCTCTCTTTTTTTTAGTTTGTTGCCAGTGGGCCCTGCTTGTCCCCTCACTGTGAGCCCACAGCTTGCCAAGATAGACCACACCGCTCACTGGGGCAGCACCTGCCCATTCTGGACGGACTCGTCCATCCTTGTAAAAATGCGCATACTTCCTTTTGAGTTTTCTATCTCTGAGCCGGTGTCATATTGACACTGGCGTTTCAGGGCTTCTCAGATGGGCTCTCCTTGTCGCCCTTGGGCACGCACCTATTTTGGGGGGGCCACATACACAGGCACAGCAGGGAGACAGCTGCATCCTTTCAGGTCCCTGGTTGGTTGTGAAACACACACACACACTCACACACACACACTCACAAACACACCCACTCACACTCCTCTAAGACTCCAAAGGAGAACGACTGGGTAGAAGCTTTGTCTCCCTGTGGCCTTGTGTCTGGAAGGCCTGTCCACTTTGGACTCTGCTCCAGGGGTGGAGCTCAGATGACCTGTGGCGCATCAGGCCACTTTGATGTGGGGCGTCAGGCGACTTTGATGTGGGGCGGGAGGAGAGGGGGTGGGCTAAGGGATGTGATAAGGTGTAACTTAAGCTAAATGTATTCTATTTATAAAGCAAGAGACTCTATTTTTGTGAAAGGATCAGGTTTTTAATCTAGGGTAGGCAGTCGTGGTGGCCCAGCACTCTGCTGTGGATGAGATGCCACCATGCTTGTTGACTCGGGGGACCTAACACTGAGTTCCCCTCTCCTCCCCTTGCCGTCCGTCGTCAATGCACACAGCTGTGCAGAAATGGATTCTTCTTTCCTCAGCCCTCAGTGCTGTCCTTGGAAGTCTCAGAAGTGAGCTGGGGGTGGGGGGAGGTAGGAGGGAGGACGGGCAAGTGACTGCAGGAAACTGAGGTGGGGGAAGGGGTGCTTCAGAGGTAGGGTATAATGTTTCTGCAGCTCCCCTCTGTTCCCACTCAGCTGTGCAGGGGTAGAGCTTGTGGGCTTGGGGAATACGGGTGCCTGGGGCTTACTGTGTCTGAAGTTACCAGGCAGCTGGAGTAGGCACAGAAGGGACCCCCAAGATGCTCAGAGCTCAGCCCTGGCCGTGTCTACTCCAGGCCAAGGTGGAGCTTGCAGTCTTTGTTCCCTGGATGAAGGACCAGGGCTCTGGAAGATTGCCTCAGACCTGGGTCCTTGCTCTGGGACCCCAAGTTTGGGTTTTGAAGGGTAACCACCTACCAGGAGAAGTGGGGAGGGGTCTGAGCGAAGCCATACACTCTCTCTGGGAGGGGATTTTCCATTGTGCGAAGATCTTCAGGCTCAGTATGGGCTCTGTGTGAGTCTTAGGTCAACCCCTTACCTTTCCTGTTCCCTCCCACGCTCTCAGAGAAACGTGGTGAACTCCCCACAAGGACCTCTTTATGCACATTGTAGCATCTACCTGGTTTTTAGTCCCACCCTACCCCACGGTTGCTGTGTCTGTCAGCTGGGTCTGAAAATCACTGGGAGGGGTTTGTACTCACTAAAAGACTACTGACCCTACCAGAAAAATCAACCTGTTTACTGTACTGTTGTAAATACCGTGCCCTTTATATCCTGTATATTGGCTTCTTTTAAATAAAATAAAAATGTCTTAGAACAGACCGTGTGTGCTGCTTTTTGTCATGGCGATTGTGGGAGGGGTCAGAAGACTAAAGCAAACACATTAGCCAATCAGTGATAAGATGGGGGACTCCTGTTTGCATCTCACACTGAGACCTTCCAGAAGGAGATAAGGCAGGACTTGACCAAAGAGCCCAGACTAATCGGCACTGTCCGGTTTGAAGTTGAGGTCCCACCAGCTCCAAAGCCCCCATTTCACAAACCTCCCCCGAGTATCTACAAGAAGCACCTGCTGGGCTCTGGATTCGATTCTGTCCACTGTTCCAGTGACTTTTATTTAGTGGCCACTTTCAAAAGTGTCATCCCTCTGACGTGCACCATCTTTCCCAGGGATGAAGAGAAGCTGCTGCTTCCTCATATTTATGTTGTGCCCTTTTCCTACTCAATGTTCTTGGCTCAGGTCTCCCAAGGTGTCTCCGATGGTGTAACTGAACGGAAGGGAGAAGCTCAAGGTGGTGGGCGGGCGTTCGAGGTGGAGACTATCATCCTAGCCTGCAGCAGAGGAAACAGGCCCAGAGGGGCTGGACTGGATAGTTTCTATGACAACTTGACACAAGCAGGAGGCGTCTGAAAGGAGGGAACCAAGTCTGGGAAAAGGCTCCCCAAAGATCACGCTGTCGTTAAGCCTGCATGGCATTCTCTTAATTGATGGGGGAGGGACCATCCCATTGTGGGCAGTGCCACCCCTGGGCTGGTGGGCTTGGGTCCTATAAGAAAGCCGAGAAAGCCAGTAAGCGGCATCCCTCCATGGGCCTCTGCATCCATTCCTGCCTTCAGGATTATACCCTGACTTCCTTCAATGATGAACCGCAATGTGGAAGTGTAAGCCAATAAACCCTTTCCTCTTCAGCTTGCTTTAGGCCATGGTGTTTCATCACAGCAATAGTAACCCTAAGACAGAGGCTAATTTGCCCAGTGTGGTATCAAATTAGAACTGGATAGAAGTGACCTTACAGCAAATGCCCAAGTCACACTACCACAGACATAGAAACACATACTGGAATCTTGGGAATATAGTGCTTTCCTCAGGCATTATCCTAAGAGCAAGCTTCAGAAGCAGTTTTTTTTGCGGGGGGGGTGGGGTGGGGGGTGGAGGTGGTGGTGGTTCGAGACAGGGTTTCTTTGTGTGGGTTTGGCTGACCTGGAACTAGTTCTGTAGATCAGGCTGGCCTTGACACACAGAGATCTGTCTGCCTCTGCCTCCCTAGTGCTGGGATTAAAGGCACGCTCCACCACCGCCTGGCTGAGAAGCAGTTTTAATATGTTCGAATATTCATCAAGTAACTTCTCATGCAGAAAACTGATTTTTTTTTTTTTCCGGGGGACAGAGGGACACAGAGGAAAATCTTTTTTTGTGGGTAGAGGCTGAAAAAAGGGAGAAAGAAAAAGACGGAAGGAAAGAAAAAAAGAAAAAGAAAAATGCTAAGCACAGGCCCGCTATGGTTTTATCTCATACTGATCCCAATCTGGAAGGAAGCAGGCCCTGGCAGTTGGCTTGGCCCTGTGCCAGGCTGAGAGGGCCGACCAGGCTCCATCCAGGGCGGTAGCCCTCGGGGTGGCGGCGGGGAGCTGGCCTTAGTGTGACCCCGAGGGCTCGTGCAGAATGATGATCCGCAGGTGGCCAGCCTTCTAGCAGCCAAGGTTCTGGGATCCCTGCTGCACCTGTCGCGTGGACCTGGTCACTCTACCCCATCTACTACTGAGCACTTGCGCCAATCGGGATCTGGCATTAGCTACTGCAACTCTCCGACCCGACCTAAGAAGTGGGCAACTTGGGAGTCCCGCTGATTGGCCCGGAGGCCTCCATGTGTGAC